AAAATACTAAAAACTTATTAAAGTATTTATAAGAAATAGCTTAAATAGAAAATAAAAATACGTTATTTTAAAATTAATTTTCTCTTAAACTATAATAGGTTTTAGAAATACTTTTTAAATATTATAAAGTTATAGTATATATAGTACTTAAATTAAGAGTTATAGAATTATTTATAGAGAAATAAAGTCGTAATAATTCTAAAAAAACTAGGTATTTTAGTAAACTATTCTACTAAAATACTCTACTTTATATTTTAGAGTTTTTTATAAAGAAATAAAGTCATAGTAATTTTCTTAAAAAATAACTAGATATTTACGTAAATATTATTTACTAAAATATTATACTTTATATTATATTTACCGAAATACCTAGTTTTACCCGTTTTAAAATTTAGAAGAAAATATATAGAAAGTTAAATTTTTATATAGGGTATTCAGATAAATTTTATAAAAACTAGGTATTTTAGTAAGGGTATAGGTATTTTAGTAATTATCTTTAAAAACTAGGTATTTTAGTAATATTCTTAAAAGAACTAGGTATTTTAGTAATTATTTTAAAAAAAAAACTAGGTATTTTAGTAATTTACCGTATATATAGTAATATTTCTAGACTTAAAAAGCGGAAATACTTAAACGTTAAAAAGAGTAAAGAAATTTATTTATTTACTAAAAAAACTATTATATTTAACTTTATTAGTATTTTTATTTTACTAAGCTACTACTAAAGTATATAATAATTTATAAATTAATAATTTATAAATTATATTTTTTATCTCTCTTATTCGTCGTAAGACCGATAATTAGTAGTATAAATATAGAATAGTAGCGAGTTCTCTAAGTTTACTACTATTTTATATATAAGTTTAGAGTAAGCGACGGAGAAAAAGTTATTTTTTCGAGGGGGAAGAAAAGGGGGGGTTAAATTTATAGCTATCTTATAGTAAGTATCTTTAGTATTAGCGTAGAACTAGTAATATTAGCTAATTATTCCGATTATAAGCTCTATCCGCGTATAAGCTATACCTCTTATATCTTTCTTAGCTAGTTAAACCGCTATAAGCTATATGGCTTATACACTAATTTATACGGTACGGTACTAACTACGCTACCGGGAAGCTTGCGGGATCCTAGGGGCGGGCAGCTGCGGGACGGGCCGGGGCGGCGAGGGCTACTAGGGCGACGTCGCAGCGGGCCTCCACGAACGCCACGCCCGGGTCGTCGGCGCGGCCCCAGGTCAGCGCCAGCCGGCCGTCATTATGAGTCACTCTGAGTCGAAAACCACTGCTAAGCGTACGGCCTCGCTCGGAATCTCGGCGGCAGTTCACCCCTAGAGAGCAGGAGCTTTTTTGAGACGCATTGTCAATTGCAGCAGATCACCCGTGGGGCTCAGCCATCGAACAGGAGCCGAGACGAGGACCAGTCTTCTAGAGCAAGATAAACTTTACAGGACCAGATACAACTTGCTACACGCTAGCAGAAACATGCCTTCGTCCTCTGGGGTGACGTGTCTGGACTGGATGGAGCTTGTCAGGTAATCGCCGGTGTTGGTCCGCCTACGAACGCACAACTGCCCTCTGACTACGATATCGGTATTGGAGCACGCGTCACCTAGGCCCTCCGCCTCACCCGGATCTGCCTCGTGGGGTCTGGGGCCCCAAGCACGTCCACGAACGCGTGCAGCGGGCCATCTCCGCCCTCGGCCAGCGCGAAGTCGAAGTCCGGCAGCAGGCGTGCTAGCATCACCTTCAGCTCCGTTGCCGCGAACCAGCGCCCGGGACACGCCGCTTTGCCGTGTCCTGCCCACCACCCACGAGTGTCAGCTTCTTCAATCCTCAGGTGCGTCACGGCTGTAGGGGGGCAGGGGAGGACGGCCCGCTTGGCTTACCGAAGCTGATTCCCGACGCGTTCGACGACACGAACTGGAAGCTGTTCTCGCTGCCGGGCTCCGTGCGCAGCCGCGCGAAGCGGAAGCCGTCGAAGTCGGCCGGGCGCTCCCACAGCTCGGGGTCGCGGTTTATTGCGTCGGCCGGGAAGGCTATGGACGTGCCCACGGGCAGGCGCTGGCCGTTCGACAGCGTGATCGGCTCGAGCACTTTCCGGTTGACGGACACTGCACACAGAGCCAAAGGACCCCCCGCGGCGTTAGACGGTCGAGCAAGAGAGGGGGGAGACTCAGGGCGGGGAATAGCTACCCAGACCAGGCGGGCTTAGCCGCTGGACTTCGCGCAGAAAGCTGTCCAGCTTGACCATGTCGTGTAGACATTGCTTGGTGAGGGCGCCGTGCTTGAGTATGCAGGCCTCGATTTCCTCGCGCAGCGGCTGCATGTAGTGCGGGCGTGCTGCGAGCGCAAATAGCGTGCCGGAGAGCTAATTATGCGAGATCAGTGAACGGACAACGGGGAGACACTTGCCACCCGCAGCGATCTCGAGACCGAGACCGGCGGTGTCCGCACGTACCTGCCCGCTTGTCGTGTGTATCGCGGCGATGTTGAGCACAAGGTGCTGCGAAACGTGCCAGGCAACGTCGGAAACACTGCCCGGGGGTGCGTGCGTGATCAGCCACTGGATCATGTCGTCCTGGCCCTGGAAGTCGGCGCCGCCGCTGCGCATGTCGCGCAGACGCTGCTCAACCAGCGGCCGCAGCATGCGCTCGGTGGCCTGGCGGCACTCTTCAACGCCGCCAACCTCGCGCACGAACAGGCGCACGAGCGGCCGCAGCCAGGCCGGGTACGCCAGGAGCTTGAACGCGCCGGCGATTGAGTGCTGCGTGACGTTGACGGCAGCGTCGATCCTATTGCCCTCGGGCGTTAGCGGGGGCGGCCGGCGGCAGCGGCTCTGGGGCCCGGCACCTACCATTCCTCGTTGCGCGACAGTGGCAGCCCGACAAAGACGCGGCCCGACAGCAGGGCAATCAGCCGGGTGGCCGTCGAGTGCAGCGGCACCGTGGTCCACCCGTCGGCGCCGCAGCTAGCCAGCGTTGTGCGGACGGCGAACTGCGCCTCGTCGTCCATCGTCGGCAGCAGCCGGTCGATGCCCGGGGTAAGCTTGTTCTTGATCGCCACTACCATGGCGCTGTCGTTGGACGCAAACGCCGTGTAGCGCCCGACGAAGCGGTCGTACATCTCGCGCCGGAAGTTGAGTTTCTTCTCGGACACCGCGCGGATTTCGTCCAGCAGCGCCGGCGCCAGGATCGTCATCGGCGAGCTTACCGTTGGGATCTGGAAGATCCATTGCGGGTTGAGCTTTGCCTGGGGAGGACGGGCCGTGTCAGCTAGAGGAGGCGTGAGCGGTGGAAACGGTGTTGCGAACACACCTTCTCGTATCCTTCGTTCAGCGCCTTCCTGAAGTCACCCCCCGGGGCCTGGATGGTAGGCACAGACAGCAGGGTCTGATGACGAGATCTGGCAAAGAGGGCAATCGCAACCATCACGCATATGATGATTGAGAGCGGGACGCCCAGCCCTGCAGAGCTGCTGGCGGCTTGGACCATCGTTCGTCGAGGAAGGTGTTGCCTGTTGTTGGTTGTTGGTGAAGCAGTAGCCTCTCTCTCAGTCTGCCTCGCTTCCTCGCTCTTTTTTAATCCGATTTTTGCCAGTCTGCTCCCCGCTAGGAAAGTCTGGCGTGTCCGGCCATCACGTCCGCATGTGTAGCGCGGGCCTCCACTCTTCCGAACACGCCCCATATAGCCAACTGGGTGTGTGCTCGGGCCGCCTTCGCCAGTGCTGCTTTCGACTAAGTCCGAGGCTCCCGCGTATTCTTGAACATTAATAAGCATCTCGTGGGCTTAGCAATGGCGGGTGCCCCGGTAGGAGGATTTAACGCGCAGCCGGCTGCCAACATCGTCGCAGCGGTGTAAATTGAGACCGGCCAGGATCCCGCAAAGGTCGTGGGTAGCAGCAAGTGCATAATCCTAACACATTAGCAACACACCCCCTCTTCTTCCGTCATTGCGCGCGCTAACTTATCAAGGAGCGAGAATAGTCTGGAGGTATCTGCCATCATGCTGTCCGTCGAGGTTGGTCACAAGCAGCGCCAGAGCACAGCGACGAGAATTGTTGCATGGCGGGCGAGCTTAGTGTTTCAGCGCTCCCGTGACATGACCCTTGACAGGAAGTAGGCCGCAGCCAATACAGCTCTGGAAATAGCCGGCGACACCAATAACGAATTGGTTCCATTGCGGAGTCAATAGCCTGGCACGCACCGCCCTGCAGGGCGATGCGAGCGGACGGGCACAGGAGCACCTCAACTCAACTCAGCTACCAACGGCGTTACCCACGACCGAATTGAGCCGAGGCAGGCAAATCGCACACCGAGCGGCAGGAACTGCGCCTGTGGATCCTAGCGCCACAAGCCCTTGCGTACTGTGGTCTAAAGGGGACCTGACCAAACGTTAGCGCGCTCCACCAGCTTAATGACAAAGGGTGGAAACCAGACTTTAATATGTCAAGAGAGATAGCCAATGAAGGATCTCGAATACCCCGGAAACGATGATTTACGTTAGCGCGACGCTAACTTTGTTCCCCTTCAGACCACAGGAGGGTGGCATTATGGGGCGGCTTGGCTTGGGCGGGGCGGCAGGTTACTAGCCAAGAGGCCGAAAAGATTGTTGTAGAGCCTCTGGATGGTGCGTATTCAGAACATCTGGCATGAACTGCCTGTTTCGAGTTAGCTTCCACAGCTCCGGCCAGCAGAGTGCGCGTCCACGAGTCATCACCTACTTGTCGACTCGGCTATGCTCCGAGATGGTCGAGACCAGTGCCATCGTGCGTGGATGGGAAAGAGGGGACTGCGCTCGTCAGGCTGCCCGCGGCCGTCGACTTGAACCGGACACGCAAAGCATTGCCAGCGCCGCCGTGCAGAGAGGCCAGCCTAGCTGAGCCACCAGCTCACGTGTCCAGGACAGCGCCCTTGTTGTATGCTATACCCACGCTTCTTTACCTCTTGGACTTCTACACAACAATCAACACCTTCTCCGCAAGCGCGATGCGGTGTGGAACGGAATTAACGCAATCCGCGACCGTTAATTGGTAGGAAAGGAACGAATACGACTCGGTACAAGACAAGGCCGATTGTGCTTGAGAAGCACCGGGCCTTTGCCTATGCCGAGGTTAGATCTGCGACACCATAAGAAAAGTCCAAAGTGTCTCAGTCGTGCATTACTCTGATCCTGGTAGCTTGAGATAGAGCGTCAGACGCATATCAGAGCAATCTAAATAGAGGCGGCTGTCCCTTCGGGACCACTCCAAGCTATGCTCCAATCCTCTCTACGCGTGCCAACAATGTTTACCATGCTAAGGTACAGCCCCGAGAGCGACCTATTGCACGAGCGCTGCGATAGGCCCCCCAAGACCGCATCCACGGGCATTCTGCGCCTTGCATGCATGTACTGCAGGGCCAAAAAGGTATCTCGCCCTGGCTTCCAGCCCCCAGCTGTTGATTCTGACACTTCGAAGCTCAGATGCAGCGGGGACAAGCCATCGTGCCAGCGTTGCGTCTCGAAGCGCTTAGACTGCACGTATCCCACGAGAGGAGCCCGTTCGGGGGGCGCGAGGAAGGACGCGGTGCATAGAGAAGAGCAGAAACCCGTTGCAGTCGACCAGAACTGCAGCCCGAATAAAGGCTCCACGCCGGATAGCACGGCGCGTTCCAACGACTTCTGGAATCATTCGACATTCTCAGAGTGCGACACCTCGCAGGACACCTTTCCGACCACCGTAGATGAGAACCAGCTCTTTGACGCCGTGCTGGCTTCGGATAACGACTCCTTCAGGGAGGCCAGCCCCAGTAAAGCCGCGGCTTCCAAGCCTCCGGGTCCGGGCAGCGACAGCCCGAAGGCCACCTTGGGCGCCTCAATGAACGATGAGGTTGTCTGCAGCGCGTCGTCTCGACCCGGGGACGAAGCAGTTGCAGAAGGGACTGGCACACGCGAAGCAGTACCGCAGGGCCCGAGCGCCGAGGAAGCAGCAGAGGAAGGTGACCTTGATCTCTACATCTCAACTTGGGAATCGCTTATCGGTTGGGACGACAGCGCACTCGCGGATGCCTGGCTCGTAGAGGGCTCTGCTCCACCGGGTTCGGGCGTACTGGCAGTCCCGCAGCACAGCACCAACACCAGCACCGATGTATCGCGGCCGTCAAGCGTTGCGAGCACGAGCTGCAATTGCATCATCCGGGCCATCGCCTCGGTCGAGAAGTTCGAGCCGTCTGACACGGCGGCGCCGACCGAAACCACCTTGGCGGCGTACAAGACGGCCATCGTTGACTGTGAGAAACTGCTATCCTGCGCCCACTGCCACGCCTCGACGTCGGCAACCATGCTGGTCATCATGGTCTCTGACAAGCTCATCGCCTCGCACCAGCGGCTGTACGCGCGCGGCAGCGGCCCGTGGACGTCCGAGTCGCCCGCGGACCAAGCCCCGTTCGACGACGGCGCGGCGGGCGCAGCCGCAGCCGCAGCCGCAACCGCAGCTGCAGCCGCAGCAGATGGCGGCGACCAGCAGCCTCCGCGGCGCATGTCTCTCGGCGAGTACCCGATCGACTGCGAGCGGGAGTGGGGGCACATCATGGAGCTGCTCATCTACCTCCAGCTCACGCGCATCCGGGATCTGCTCGAGCGGCTGCGCGTGCGGGTGCTGTCCACCGACGATCAGCTGCAGACGCAAATCATCCAGCAGCAGGAGGCGCGTCTGCGGCACATCATAGCCCATTTCCAGAGGACGGCGAAGATTTTCATCCCATGAGATGAGTCTTCTTGGCATCGACGATTTCCTACACTCATTAGAGGCGCTCAGGGGTTACGGGGGATAGAGGAAGGGACTGCGAACAAGCATCGGCGCATTCAAGGACAGACGCGTGACACAAAAACAGCCGTCTTCTCTCATCTACTGCAATTTTTTCATGTTCGCGCTTGCTGTGTGTTTGAACTCAATGGATTGCTCCTTCCAAGGGCCTACACGAATATGAGCTACGTTTTATGAGGAACAGGCTACGCTAAACCGCTTTCAAATCCCCGATTGGACTGACTACTTGGCAGTGCTGTGAGGGCTCAAACACGCTGCTCGTATCTTCGACTTCACGAAGCGGGCCAACGGAAATATTTCTCTCTGTGGACGACGGCAAAATCCACCAAATGCTTTGCGAACGATGCCTTGCTACAGTCATCGGCAGTGCTTGTGCATGAAGGCAGACGGAAAGCAAGCGCAGGCAGCTGCTTTGGAGCCCGCCTCTTGAAGTGGTTTGGCCGGAGGATCGAGTGGGGTGCGGCCCGGCCCGGCCTCAACATAGGCAGTTTGTCCTCGGGGCGATTCCGCTTTCAGCCTGGCCGAAGCGCCCCCCCCCCCCCCCCCCCCCCCCCAAGCGACCATATCTTGACCCGTCCTCGCTCAACGCCGCAACGTCGCTGGCCTTTCTCGGCTTTTGTGGAATAACCCCAAAAACAAAACAAAAAAAGCCATGGGTGTCTTGGATCCGGAAACTCTGCAGGGTCTGGCTTCGGAGCCCAGGGCGCTTGGTGCCGCCTGCCTGGCGACGGTGAGTGGTCTTTTACCTGCGCGTCTCTGGCGGCACAAGGGCTGACTGCAATCCAACAGGTCATCGTGTACGTGGCCTCGTGGATGGTGTACAACCTCTACTTCCACCCGCTGGCCTCGTTTCCCGGCCCGTGGCTGGCAAGATCGAGCCTGGTACGCCCATGGCCCCCGAAACCAAGGACACTGCGGGACCTGCTGGCTAACGCAGCGTGCGAAGCTCTGGCGTGTCTGGCACACGACGTCCGGGCGCATCCACCTCGCGATAGACGAGCAGCACAAGCGCTATGGTATGGCCAGCGGCACTCGCGGGAGAAAGGCAGATGGCTGACCCTGGTCTGACCTTAGGCAAGGTCGTCCGCGTTGCGCCGAACGAGCTGTCCTTCTGCTCGGTCGACTCGTGGAAGGCCATCTACGGGCACGTGTCGGCGCAGAGCCCGAAGCCGATGGTCAAGAGCGAGTTCTACGACATGTACGGGTCCGGCTACCGCTCGCTCTGCATCGGCAGCGAGCGTGATCCGGCCCGCCACCGTCGCATGAAGCAGACGCTCACCACCGCCTTCTCGACCAAGGCGCTGCTCGAGCAGGAGTCCATCGTACGCAGCTGCGTGGACGAATTCGTCGACGCCGTGGGCAAGGCCAGCGATGCCAGCCCGGGCGGCAGCGGCATCGATGTGACAAAGTGGTACGAAATGCTCGCCTTCGACATCCTCGGCGAGATGGCGTTTGGAGAGAGCTTCAACTGCGTCAAGGACGGTCGGTTTCTGCCCGCCTTCGCCGCCGGGACGCTGCATGGCTGACCGGACATCAACCAGGCAAGCCGCACTTCTGGCAGCAGCTCATCCTGGAGCACCTCTTCTTTGTCACCGTGCTTGACAACCTCAGACGATACCCCATCGTGGCCCGCATCGGCAAGCTGCTCCTGCCGCGCTTCACCGTGGCCATTCGCGACAAGCACTCCGGGTACAGCAGGAACAAGGTTGCGAGGTCAGTCACGGCCATCAAGCCGCCCCTTCGCGTTTGCTGCCCTGCACGCTGACCCCCCGTGCACCGCTACAGCCGGCTCGCCGCCGAGTCGACGCGCAAGGACTTCCTGACCAGTCTCGTGTCCAAGGTGCAGGCGGGCGAGCTGGACCGCGAGGAGCTGACGGCGCACTCGTCGACGCTGGTCATCGCCGGCGGCGAGACCGTCGCCACCTTCCTGGCGGCGGTGACGTTCTTTCTGCTGCGCACGCCGGCCGCGTACGACAAGCTGCGCGCCGAGATCCGCACGCGGTACGCGACGGCGGGCGACATCGACGCGCTGACGGCGCAGCAGCTGCCGTACCTCATGGCCGTCATCTCCGAGGGGCTGCGCCTGTACCCGCCGGGCTCGCAGGGCTTCCCGCGCGTGAGCCCCGGCGCCGTCGTCGACGGCGTGTGGGTGCCGCCCGGCGCCGAGTGCTACACCAGCGCCTGGTCGCCGACGCACGACGAGGCCTACTTCCACGACCCGTACGCCTTCAAGCCCGAGCGCTGGCTCGACCCGGACTGCACCGACGTCAAGGAGGCAAGCCAGCCCTTCAGCCTCGGCCCGCGCGGCTGCCTGGGCCGCAAGTGCGTTTTGACCCTCCCTCCCTTGGCCGCCTGCGCTGACTGGGTGCACAGCTTCGCGTACGTGGAGATGAGCCTGACGCTCGCCACGCTGCACTTCCGCTACGATCTCGAGCTGGTCGACGACGGGCTCGACTGGCTGCAGTCGTCGCGCGTGCATGTCATGTGGTGGAAACCGGAGCTGCGGGTGCGCTTCAAGGAGCGCAAGTGAGCAAGGCAGTGGAAGAATGCCAGCAGTCTCGTACGGTATTGTTTGCTTTAGTCAAGTAGTATCTACTTCCTCCTTGAATATTACAAGAAAGAATACACAAGTTTATATATATTACATTGGAGTGTACAACGTACGAGAAATAGACGGCAGTGTGGCCAAGAACGTTGGCATGCCGCACGGCCCCCAAGTCGACGGGTCTGACTAGTGAGTGAGATGAGTCGGTGCACAAGATAAGGTACTGATGAGATCCAAGCATCGTTTGCCCATGTGTCAGAAAAGCGATTCGCCATGGAAGAGTGATGCTTGCCGGACGGTCCGGACCGCGCCGCGCGGCCGGGTGACGACAAAAGGCCGACGCGAAATAGGTAGCTCCAGCCGGGGCAAAGGTTGTTTATACGAAGTGTCTACAGTAGTTTCGCCGCCCTGGTCGTTCATGCGCAAGCGCCGCACTACTGCACACGGCCACCAGTGCCCCACCCGTGCGTTGAGATGGATATGGTGCTATCTAGGCACTGTCCGCAACGGCCCTCGTATCAGTCAAACTTTGCTGGAACACCGTCATCTCTGCGTTCCACTCGCCCATCCACTGCGGCCTGAGCCTGGCCACCCCCTCTTCCATCTCGGTCCAGCGGTCGCCCAGCGTGAGGATGACACGGCCGTTCCACCGGCCCGCAGCGCGCACCTGCTCGCTCGTGTCGCGGCCGTAGCCTTCCACCTGGCCCGCCTGGCGCGCCGTCGCGGAAAACGCCACAGCCAGACCCACGTGGTGGGCGGTGCTGACGGGCGCGCCGGCAGCAACGATGGGCGCCGCCAGGTCCGCCGGGAGCAGCTTCGAGACGGTGGCGGCTGGCGCTACGGCGTTGATGGTGGCGCCGCAGAGGTGTTGGATTGACGGGCGCAGCGCGCGCACGAGGCCAACCACCTGCGTGGATCCGGCTAGCTTAGCTGCAGAAAGCGAGGCAGTGGGGGGGGGAGAGGACTCACCGACAGCTTGACCGCGCTGTAGACGGGCAGGCTGACCTCAGGGGCATACGCCGTCGCACTGCTGGTCAGCACAATGGCGCCGCCGGGCTGCCGCTGCCGCCGGAAGGCGCTGACGCTGAGCTTGACGAAGTTGAGCACCGCGCGCAGGTTGACGTCGATGACGCCGTAGCGCGGCTCGGCCAGCCGTCCGGCCTCATCCAGCGCGTCCGCAAACAAGTCGCCGTCCTGCGAGACGCCGGCGTTGGCGACGGCGATGTCGACGTGGCCAATGTCGGCGAAGGCCTCCCGCAGGCTCGCCCAGTCCGCCACGTCGCAGCGTCGGTAGGTGATGGTGCCGCCGCCCGTCACGCTGCGTCCGCTCACCGCTGCTGTTGCTGCTGCCGCCGCCGCCGCCGCCGCCGCCGCCTCAGCCGCCGGAGGCCAGGGGCTGGAGTGGCAGTCGAAGTTATCGTCGATGGGATGTAGGTCGAGCACGTGCACGCGCGCGCCGCGAGCCTGGAGAATGCGGGCCGTGGCCAGCCCAATCCCGGAGCTGCCCCCTGGTCGCGACCCGAACCATCAGCAGCCGTAGGCACCCGAGGCGGGTTGTGAGAAGCGCACGCACCGGTGATGATTGCAACTTTTCCATCCTGGCGCGGGATGTCCTCCTCCCTGATGCTCAACGACGTCATGGTTACGGCAGGAAAAGGAAGAAGTTGCTATATCCGAATCCTTCGAGAGGAAGGGGAGGCATATCATAAATAGAGCGCGCTTCGGCCCCGTCGATAAAACCGGAGGGCCGAGAATCAATGCATCGAGGCACGTCCAGTTCAAAATTCTCACTTGCATTTGCATTCTTGCAAGGCGCCTATATTCAGCATCTTGGTAAAAAAAAATAAAAATATTTGCCTGATCTGGCTAACATGGACTACGATGCTCCGCAAATTGAGCGGCGTAGCATAGTGCCAAACCTCCCGAGAGAAGTGCTGGAGAGGTGCACGTCGATCAGCATAGGTCTCACAATAGGGTGAGCTCCAAGTTCCAAGAGCATCACGCACCACCACTTTACCGACGACTGCATCTCGCTAAGCCGCGGCTGAAGGGTTGATCACCCCTCTCGTCTGCCACAGAATCTTGCCATATTCAGCGTGATAAAAGTCTTGCATGCTTGTTCCTCCTGGTGGTGGCACAGTGAGACAGTGCTGCAACATTAACCCGAAAGGAGGACGAGACGCTTTCTGCCGGTGTTGAACCCCATTGGGACGAGACCGAGGTCCGGCGCGAAGATCCAGCGCGGCCGAACTACAGCCCCAGTCCAAAACGGTCGACCGTCCGAAGATGAGGCCCAGAAATGCTAGAATCTGTAGTCTGCGGGAAAACAATGGCCACGTCTTACGGAGAATGCGCTTTCTTTACGTCGTCTAACGCTATGACGTGCATGGTAAGATGGGCAAACAAAGTAGCTACTAGTAATCTACGACACTTCGTCTACTCTCGTTGCTGCTGCTTGCTCCGATCAGAACCCTCCCGAAATCTCGGCCAAGGCTACTCTCCACCCCCAGCATGCCAGAATTCGCTATATCAAACTGCGGAGAGTAGGCGGCATCCGTGCTTCCCCGTCCATGTCAAGGCCCGACCCGCCGTGCCTTCCCTTTGCAGCATATCCGCAACAGCAACGGACAGTCAGGTCGGTCATATATAAGCCCTCTCAGAAGACGCTATCTGGATCACCCACATTATCACCAGCACCATCTAACCAACCACCGCCTCACGCACCTGCTCATCAACATGCTGTCCGCTGAGAAGATTCAAGCACTCCCGGCGCCCAAGCTGGAGGCGGATCTCGCCCCGCTCCCACCGCCCCCTCGGTACATCCAGCACAAGAGGCACCCGCTGGAGGAGCAGACCGTTGCCGAAGTGGATGCTTGGTTCCTGCAGCACTGGCCTTTTACGTCCGAGAAAGCGCGCAAGAAGTTCGTTGCTACCGGCTTCTCGACCGTCACCTGCCTCTACTTCCCGCTCGCTTTGGACGATCGGATCCACTCCGCCTGCCGCCTGCTGACCATCCTGTTCCTGATCGATGGTGAGCATCCCATGGCCCCTCTTCTGCCCCCCAGCTCCTCTCCCCTCCTCCCAACTCCGCAACTGCTCGATCCTCACGCCTGACGCCACGCCAACGCAGACATCCTTGAGGACCTCAACTTCGAGGACGGCAAGGCTTACAACGACCATTTGATGCCGATAATGCGGGGAGACGTCGCTCCGGACCCGTCAGTGCCCTGCGAGTGGATGATGCACGAGATCTGGGACGAGATGCGCAAGGCGGACCGCCAGCTGGCCGACGAGATCCTCGAGCCCACCTTCACCTTCATGCGCGCCCAGACGGACAAGGAGCGCATGCGCATCACCTCGCTGGGCCAGTACCTCGAGTACCGCGAGCGCGATGTCGGCAGAGCGTGAGTGAAGAACCGACGTTTCTCCCCCGGAGCACGCAAAGGAAACCCCCCTCCCCAAACCCATCGTGCTGACTCGCAAAACAGGCTCCTGGCCGCCCTCCAGCGCTATGTCATGAACCTGCGCCTGTCGCCCGCGGAGCTCGCATCGGTGCGCGACATCGAGATGAACTGCTCCAAGCACCTGTCGGCCATGAACGACATCCACAGCTTCGACAAGGAGCTGCGGCAAGCCCAGGTCGGCGACCCGGAGGGCTCCTTCCTCTGCACCGGCGTCAAGGTGGTGAGCGATGAGAGCGGCCTCGACTATGAGGCTTCGAAGCGCGTGCTCTACATCATGTGCCGCGAGTGGGAGCTCGTCCACAAGAGGTTGGAGCAGGAGCGCAGCGCCGCCCCCGGCTTCACTCCTGCCCTCGAGCTGTATGTCAAGGGCCTCGAGTACCAGATGGGTGGTAACGAGCAGTGGAGCGAGACTACTGTCAGGTACCAGTCGCGGTCTTGAACGGCTCTCTAGGTCTTGTGCTCTGCGTTTTTGTCTTTTTGTTTTTGTTCTTTTGAGCTATACTCTGGAGTTAGTAGAATAGGCGCTATGGATTTGGTTTCCAAGAAAAAACAAATACCAATTTGTCTTAGGTACGATGCCGTCCATGCCAGAAGCTCAGTGATGTGACCCACACAACGCGACGATAGTGATGACTTACCGCTTCACTAACCACAATCACCGCCTCTCCACGATAAACAATCAATTTATTCAAGGATATAATTCAAAAAACCTTTTAGATAACCTTTAAAGGTAAAAAGGACGACAAACTAATCTTACCAAGGCTTAGCCCGGGACTAAACTACTACTAAGAGAAAGCGTATAGTATAGATTATCCTATTAGTGACGGTGGTAAGGAGTAGAGGCTCTACGTCAAGTCGTTAGAGCACCGCTTCCCCGTCGTATGAAATACGGCTTCTAGGAAGGCCGGGTAAGATAAGAGCGTAACGCTTGTTCTTTATACCAGGCATTGCGAAGAGGTGTGGTAGAGACATGCAGAGGAAACATGCAGACAGGTTTGGAACGGTGACGATTCTTCTCACTCTCGCAAGATGACGGTCATTTTATGTTTACTCAACACGAGGGGATGTAGTGGTCCTTTAGTCACCACGACCGCAAAGTATCCGGTGGCTGCGGTCTAGCTTCTTTGGAAAAAAGACCGAGTCCGGCCCTCCGGGGAGAATTATATGGCCCGAGAGGAGAAGACATCCGTCACAAACTCAATTGCGAACACCATCTGGATCTGTGCCCCTGGCTTGACAGAGCACCTTGGTTTCGCCGAGGTTGTTCACGTTAGCATCAGCCTGGTCGCATGCCACATCAAATACATACAGAGATTGCTATGCCAACGTTCCTTTCTTATGAATACGCCTGATTTCATCATCCCCGAGATTTCCCAATCCTGAATCAAGATGTTCCCACCACTTGGACAAAACAATATCGCAGATCAGTTTGAACCACGGGGTGAACTTCGGTGCTGGGTCTTTGAACATGTCTAGCAGCTCCGCTGATGAAATCCATCTTGTGTCCCGCACTTCGTTCGGATTTACCTCCAGCGCCACGCCACCTCTCTCGAGTTTGATCAGCAAGACATAGTCGATTTCGTGCTCTCCCCATTTCCCATCGCTGGCCGCTAGATAGTGAATGCGTGTCAGGAACTTGAAGTCTTCCAGGGGAACTTCGCCTCGGTGAATCCCTAGCTCGTGGTTGAGTTTGCGCCGAGCCGCGCGCTGGGCACCGACTATGGACGAGGGTAGATCGACACCCATCTCGTCTGGGACAGCGAGCGGATGTGGGCAGCACGTGTTAGTCCACAGATCAGGGAATGTTACTTTCTCGGAGGCGCGTTGTTTGGGAGTGCCATGCTTGCAGCCAAATGATAGTGCAGGCTTTGGTGGAAGACGACAAGCAGGACCGTAAATCCAAGCCGGAGGAGCATACGATTGCAGGATGTAAGATGCAACGGGCTTCCGGCCCCGAAGCAGCGCCTCGGCTTGCATGTAGGCGCAACGTCAGCGGCGCCGGAGGGCTCTCGGGCTTCTTAGAACGGGCTCAGCACTGTGCCACAGGGACCGTAAGGACTGCCTTTCCAGCGTGCCACACAACTGAACTGGCTCGGCGCTTGTGAAGAGTTATCTTGACTGCTGCGGGAGAGGGTCCAGTCAATGTGGGGGCGGCGGGCAGCAGTTAGCTTCGTTGTGTCTCTATAATTATATTGTATCCTGCTGGAAGCCTTCAAAAGTATTCAGCTACGCCTTGCTGGAGACAGTGCCCCTTGTCCTCGCCAGACTGTGCGCGGTGGGTGTCCTGCCAATTGAACGTAATGTCTCCCAGCTGCTGTGATACCCGTGACCTGCGCCTCGAGGTCTGCTGCTGTAATCCCAGCCACGGAGGCTCCGGAGCGGACGGGAATTCCGGATTCATCGAACCCCTTTGTTTACGAGGCAGAAGGTCAATTGAGCTTCGCTGTCCCGCCACGTTCCAAGGGTTCGGCCTGTGAAATTCTTGTCTCAAGCGGTGCCTTTCTCAGCAGCTTAGCCACCGTTTCAATTACCCAACGGATCTCGATAAGATGCTTCCGACAAGCGCAAATGCGTTCTACACACCCAATAGTTTTCACAATACACAGAATCTCTCGTCCGGTGTTTTCTTCGGATTCACCGTCTCCAGAATCTCCAGCCATTGCTTTGTCCCGCCACATTGATGCCGACCAGGTTCTCAACAGCCTCTTTGCCCTTCGATCCCAAGAACCTTTTCTGATCAATTTCCACCCCGCCCTCCGCACCGGACACAGCCGGCCACAGCACCCCAACGCCATCACCTGCGAGCTTTGTTTCAAGCATCTCGAGCCCCTCATCCGCCAGCATCCTCTCCAAGTCTAGTAGCTCCTGCGCGGCCGACCTCGACTCCGCAGCGCCAGGCTCGTCCGCAACGCCAGCCGGGACGTGTTGTTTCTTGAGCAAGACGATGGCGCAGCCTCCACCGCCGGCACCGGTAAGCTTCGTCCAGCCGACGCCAAGGCGGTCGACGAGCGCGCGGGTGCGCTCGAGCTTCGGATGCGACACGCCGAGTGACACCAGCAGGCCGTTGTTGATGGCGACGAGGTCGCCCAGATGCCGCAGTGCCGCCGGACTCGTGGGCTCGAAGTCCGGCGCGGAGATGAGCTGGTATGCGGACTCGGTGGTGGCATGGATGGCGCTCAGCACGCGGTCCGCGACGGCGGGGTGGCTGTTCCGGAGGCCTTTCACCTTGTTGATCTCGTCCGTCGCGCTGCGGGGCTCCCGCGTGTTCACCACCAGCAGGGGGAGCTCCGGGAAGCGGCGCAGCGGCGTGACCACGGCCGAGTCGGGGGGGTTCCGTTGGAACATGACGGCCTTGCCGCCGCTGCAGACGGTGTTGTCCACTCCTGACGGGTTGCCGTGGATGCACATCTCCGCGACGAACGCCCACCTGCTTATGCGGTCGATTTGTAGCACTGATTCGTGTGTATTCTGGCGCTGATGTGGAATGCTCAGCGCTCCGGTCTGGAGCAACAATGCAGTAGCCATGCATACAGCCAAGCTTGCACTGCTTCCCAAGCCTGCGCCGATGGGTATTGTTGAGCGGACAGCGTAGATGCAGGGGTCCAAATCATGCGAGCCAAGCGATAGAAGAAGATAGAGAAATGCGAAGGCTGAGGCCCGGTGAGTTCTGCGTGTACTCTCGGGCCGGCTGGAGGAGACAGCTGCAATATGCGGCTGGAGAGCTTCGACGAGTCCCGGGTCCAGGGACTGGTTCTTCTGGTTTGCTTCAGAAAAGTCGTGCCACGGCAGGTCGTCGATGTTCCAGGTGTGATTGAGGTCGACGTCTGGAGAGTGTAGGGAGATGATGCGGTTTGACTTGGGAGGGAAAGTCACGAGTAGATAAGTGCGGAGGGAGATTGATGCCGCGATGGCAGCCTGAATCCACGTTAAATCTGGATAACGGCTGGAGAGTTTCTCTTACCTTGCCGTATACGACAGCGTGTTCTCCGTAGACAATTACTTTGCCAGGTGCCGAGACCATGAAGGAAGGCGCTAGTGGCTTGGAATTCTGGCTGACAGCTAGTGGGCGTTCCATTCTGGTGAGAAGGTAATAATCACGCTCGAGGATATGACGCTGTCGCCGTTAGTCGGGGCCACGACGCGTTTTCGCCTTACGCTGCTAATGCAGTATACCTGTATGCTTGTTCGATTGATAACCGCAGAGCGATTCCTGACAACAACCCCTGGTTACAAGATCCGCCACGAAAAATTGTTTTGAACCTTTGAACTCATATAAGCATTCAAGACTCGAAGTAAGAAAAGCCAGTGTTTCTGTGCCGCCGCCTGTTGCAGTGGCGGCCGACGAATTTTCTCGAACTAACCAGGGCCCCAGCAATTGGTTCGTCACGACAGCTTTCGCACGCAGGAGCGGCGTTTTCCCATCTAGTTCCGCCTTCCGGAAGCCCAAGTTTTGACTTCGGATGATGTTTTCGATCTGAAGCTGTGCCTCGGAGAAATAACCGAAGCGGTAAAGAGGTTACACTCCCACCGGGCCGTCTCAAAAACACCGGCTCCGAGAAGTTGCTCCGCCGCACACGGCAAGGCTGGTGAGAAAATACTTTCAGATCAGTGATGCCGGCTACGTCACCACATTGATTGGAGTTTTTACGCTTAGGAGGCTCATGTCCACGACTTCTACAAGCCTGACCTGACCGGCAAGGAGCTCTACGTCGATGAGATGTACTCAAATCGACGGCACACTGAGCACTTGGCGATTACAACATGCCAAAGGTCTTGGAAGAAGCTTTCGCCAATCAGAAACAATTGGATGGCCCGAACGATATTACCCAATCGGGGATGCAGTCCGAAAACCACTCGAATGAACCAGCTTCTTATATTTGTACATGGACCAAGAGAGAGTTTCTCTGCAGAGGCAACAGAAGTTCATTGTGTCACTTGTCATCATGCAGTCGCGTGCGCAGAATGTTGGCATCAAAGCCGTGGAATTGTACTTCCCAAACCAAGTGAGCGATTCGACCCGTTTCGTTTTTAGCCACTTACTAACGCTCTCCCAGTGCGTTGATCAGACTGATCTTGAAAGGTTCTTGGGCGTCGCCCCGGGAAAGTTCACGATCGGCTTAGGGCAGACGCAAATGGCATTTTGCGACGACCGTGAAGGTAACGGGTTGCCTTTCTGTAAACACAACGAAGCTTACGTTTTTGAAAGATACATACTCTATCGCGCTTACGGCAGTCTCGTCTCTGCTTCGGAAATACAATGTTGACCCCAAGTCCATTGGACGGCTTGAAGTTGGCACCGAATCGCCGCTCGACAAATCCAAGTCTTGCAAGACGGTGCTCATGCAGCTCTTTGAGCCGCATGGCAACACGAACATCGAAGGCTGCGATACTTTCAACGCCTGTTATGGCGGTACGAATGCCCTATTCAACGCGGTGAACTGGATTGAGTCATCGGCCTGGGATGGGCGGGACGCGATCGTTGTAGCTGGAGACATCGCGTTGTACAACCAGCCAGCGGCAAGGCCGACGGGAGGAGCTGGATGCGTGGCCATGCTGGTTGGCCCGAATGCGCCCTTAGTGTTTGATGCCGGGTTGCGAGGATCCTGCTTCAGGCATACCTACGACTTCTACAAGGCCGATTTCAAGTCCGAGTATCCCTTGATCGATGGCCAATACTCCATCGAATGCTACACCCAAGCAGTGGATGCCTGCTACAAAAACTACAACGACCGGAAGGAAGCCCTAAGGACGTTGCTGAACGGCTCGTGGAAGGAGTCTGGGCTGGCTAGCGGCAACTCCGACCTGCCACTCGGCTTCTTCGACTACATGGTCTTCCACGCCCCGACCTGTAAGCTCGTGGAGAAATCCTTCGCACGCATGCTGTACAATGACTTCGTTCAGAACCCCGACCACCCACAATTCGCCTCGGTCGCCCCGGAGCTGAGGAACTTGAGTGCCGAAGAAAGCGTGACCAACAAGGCGGCTGAGAAGACATTCATGGCGCTCGCGAAGAAGCGTTTCACCGAGCGCGTCCAGCCCGGCCTTACGGTACCTACCATGTGCGGCAACACCTACACCGCAAGCGTCTATGGCAGCCTCGTCAGTTTGATAGCAAACTTGGGCAGCGAGAAGCTTCAGGGCAAGCGCGTTGGTCTCTTCAGCTACGGCAGCGGCCTTGCTAGCTCTCTGTTCAGCTTGACTGTGCGTGGCGACATCTCTGACATGGCCCGAAATGTCGATCTGCTGTCCAGGCTGCAGAAAAGGCATGTCCTGTCCCCAGAGACGTACGACGAGGTAAAGTGCACCCATGATATATAGTTGGCGAAGAGCGCCGCTGACAGATTGGTAGGCCTGCAAAATCCGAGAGAAGGCATATCAGAAGAACAACTATACGCCGGTTTCGGATCTCACCAGGCTTCTTCCCGGAACTTACTATCTGGCTGGTGTCGACGGCATGTTTCGTCGGACGTATGAAGTCAAAGGATAGCATGGCTGAAAGGCAGAGTGACATCCTACATTAGGTCGACGGTTCCTTCTTAGATGATATATGATATAAAATTTTCTACGAGATACTCCATGTCCGTGCAACGCCCGGAATCATCACGGGCACGTAGAAAAGGTCCCCACCCGCGGCCTGCCGGTAGCCCTCCTGCAGCATCGCCTTGTAGTCGTGGCGGAAGCGTTCGCGGCTCTGCGAGACGGCCTGCGCGCTGCTACCGCCGACAACGGGTAGGTGCGGCGCAGAAAAAGCGCGAGGGCATTTTGTTGACTGTCCACAGACGGCGCGGTGGATCAAGCCAGAAATTGCGATCAAGGCAGAAAAGACCAAGAACCTCCTTGGGCAGAAAGGCTGGTTCCTGTTTCAAGACCTTGTTCAGTCAACGAGGTGCTATAGTTCAGGCCAGGAGGCGCCAGAGAGAGGGCTTTGATGCCCAGCAAATAATCATGGGAAGAAGTGGAAGACAGTAAAAAGGAAGGAAGTGAAGGATTCCATTTGAGCAGCTGCCTCACCTGTCGGCCGTCATCAGCGAGGGCCTGTGGCTGTCGTTCGCGTCGGGCAGCGGGCCCATGGCCTTCACCATCCCCGCCGGCGTGCCCGTCGGCATGAGCTGCCCGCTCGTCCACATGAACCCGGACCTGTTCCCGCAGCCCGCCCGCTTCCGCCCCAAGCGCTGGCTCAACGACGCCCCGCCCGGCCTCGCCGGCTACACCTTGGCCTTCTCCAATGGCAGCCGCCAGTGCATCGGCATCAACCTGACCTACGCCGAGCTGCGCGCCAGCATCATCGCCGACGTGCGCCACTTAATTCGGCGGCCGCCTCGAGCTGTTCGGCGCCGAGCTGAGCGACGTGGAGATGCGCCACGACCTGTTCGTGCGGACGCCAAAACTGGACACCAAGGGGATTGGGGTGCTGGTGAAGTGAGGGGCCGCGGGACGCTAGGGGCAGGGGGCTTTGGAACAGTGTCGGTGCCGCCTGTTTGGCGCTGTGTGTTGGCCTTGAGGGCTCAGTGTTGTCCGAGCAGCAGCCCATTTCTGCAGGCACTGTTGTAGAGCTCAGCCATCTTTCTACCAGTAATCAAGTCTCTTTCTACCGGTAATCCTGGCATTTTGCCCGCCTTGTTGATTGCTTCCTTTTCTTGCCAAGCCAAGTAGTCAATCGGCTACACTAACCGCTTTGGGTAATTCCGGACGTCGGGTTCGGCGCCTCGCTTGGAATGCATACGCCGGGCTGCGCTTGGCATCGTCTACGCTGGGTGAGGGTCTCCTCTGCGCGCTGCTACAAGAGCCCGGAACGCGCGCTACGCAGTCGAAGAAACACCGTCAAGGCCCTGGCCGCACCTATCCCGCAGTCATGCTCCTTCCCACCCGTCAGATGGGCAAAAACGGCCCCCATGTCACAGCACTCGGCCTCGGGCTAATGGGCTTGAGCGTCGGGTACGGGAAGCCACGGTCGGACGCCGAGAGGCTTGCGTTTTTGGATCATGCGTACAACCTTGGCGAGACCAACTGGGACTCCGGTGCGGGCTGCCGCAGTCTTGTCCATCACACAGTCGAGTCGCTGACATTCCAGCTCCCCACGTGGCAGCCGACATATACGGCGACAACGAAGACCTTTTGGGCAAGTGGTTCGCCGCGAACCCCGAGAAGCGGCCTGACGTCTTCCTCGCAACCAAGTTTGCCTACAGGGTCACGTCTGCCGGAACTCTCGACACCGACTCGTCCCCCGAATACGCGAGGCAAGCGCTCGACGCCTCCCTGAGACGCCTCCGAGTCTCTTGCGTGGACCTCTACTACTGCCACCGCCTCGACGGCAAGACGCCCGTCGAGAAGACCGTGCAGGCCATGGCCGAGCTGCAGCGAGAGGGCAAAACTCGACTCATCGGGCTCAGCGAATGCAGCGCCGAAAGCCTGCGCCGCGCCTGCAACGTCGCCCACGTCGACGCCGTGCAGGTCGAGTACTCGCCCTTCGCCCTCGACCCGGAGCGGCTTGGCCTGGTGCACGCCTGCCGCGAGCTCGGCGTCGCCGTCGTCGCCTACTCGCCCCTCGGCCGCGGCATGCTGAGCGGCGCGTATCGGTCCCGTGACGATTTCGACGCAGCCGACTACAGGCTCTCCACCCCGCGCTTCAGCGAGGAGAACTTCCCCAAGAACCTGCTGCTGGTCGAGAAGGTGGAAGAGCTGGCTAGGCTGAAGCGCGTCACGCCGTCGCAGCTGACGCTGGCGTGGTTGATGGCCCAGGGCGAACACGTCATCCCCATCCCCGGCACGAGCAGGGAGACGAGGCTGGAGGAAAACCTCTCCGCGCTGAAAATTCATCTGACGCCTGAAGAGGTCGACGCAATCAGGAGGACGTCCGAGGAAGCAGAAGTACATGGCGACCGGTATCCCCAAGATGCCGCCGGTGCTCTTTTCGCAGACACCCCGCCACTTTAGAAAATCAAGTAGATGGTAAGTACTTTGGAAAGGACGGGCAGAACGGGTTCGCCGCGGGGCAGGATTTAGGGTTATAAATATCGAACATGTATGTACATTTCTTTCTCTTTCCCGCTAGGCACAGAATTCCAAGACGCTGGCACCAGCCATGCAGCAATCATGATCCTCCCTCTCAAACCTCAGCCCAAAGCTCCGCGCTTAGATCAATCCAACGTCGACACCGCTCCGCGTCGACGTCATCCCGCGCCACGCCAAAGGTGGTGGTGGAGAAGTTGAGCACCGTGGGGGCAGCAGCGTCGAAGGCGGGGAAGGGGACGGGCACGGGCAGAGGCCGGTCAGGGGATCCGGAGGCGGCGAAGTTGGTGAAGTAGCGCTGCATGGTCGTGGCCAGGGAGGCGGCGGGCGAGGCGTCGGGAGCGCCGTCGTAAAAGGTGTAGGCCTGGTCGAGCGAGTGCCAGCCAGGCGGCACGCTCCACACGTAGGCGTGCGCGCCGCCGCCGGGCCTGGCAGCCAGCTGGCGTGCTGCGCACGTCACGGAAACCTCGGCGTACGCGGCTGCGTAGCGGCGCAGCGGGCTGGCGTACGTGGCTGGGTAGAGCTCGGTGCCGAGGAGCGACAGCGTGGCGGGCGAGGCTGCGGGCAAGACTCGGCTGAGCAGCGTCTCGAAGGCGCCCTCGTCCAGAGCCTGCGGCGGGGTGAAGAGGATGCCCTCGTCCGAGTTGTGGCCGACCATGAGGCGGATGGGGGAGCTGTCGTTTTGAAAGGCGGCGAGCGGGGGAGCGGGGGAGCCCTCGACGAGCGCATGGTCAACGGTGGGGCCTGCAACGGTTTGTCATTCATCTGCGCTCTGTTACTTGGGACTGAGCAAGAGGCGCACCGAAAACGAACGTCCCGTACGGAGCCTGAGAAACGAGCATATTGTTTGCGGCTTGGAGGGTCGTCGTCGACGCACGGCGCAGCTGGAGCAGCGTGGTCGCGTTGGCTAGATGCAGCACCTCTCTATACAATGCGTCCTGCCGTGCCTTTGGCGGCGGAGGGAGCAGCCAGGGGCTCTGCACGATGGCTTGCTGGAACAATGCCGGCTGACGGGCCATGTGCAGCACCGTCGAGCCCGCGCCCGCCGACTCGGCCATGACGGTGATGCGGTTGGAGTCGCCGCCAAACAGATGGACGTGATTCCGAACCCACTCCAGGGCGAGCCGCTGGTCGAGCAGGCCGGCATTGGGCGTCCCGGACTGCTCCTCGAATGCGGTGCCAGCCAGCCATCCCTGTGCTTTCCGTCAGGGCCGCAGCGTTGTTGTCGTCGATTCCAGCGCTGCACTTACGAAAAGACCGAGTCGGTAGTTGACGGCGATGTAGATGATTCCCGCGTTGCCCTGTTCCATCGAGCGCGCCACCAGGCCGGCCCCGTTGCCTTGCTCGCTCTTGTCGCCGCTGACGAAACCTCCGCCATGGATCCAGACCAGCACGGGAGCGCTCAGCTCGTTGTCGAACACGGCCTTTGGCACCACGAGGTCGAGAAGCAGACAGTCTTCGCTCGTGCGTGGGTCGACGACGCTCGCGCTCGCGCTGGCGTTGGCTTGTGTGTAGTTCAGCCCGGCCGCGAAGAGCGTGGCTACGTCAAGCCAGGCGGGCCGCCGGCCGGGGCAGACGGCCGCCGACTGTCCGTTGTTCAGTCGCCGCCGTGCTGGCTGCAGCTGCGATGGCGGCTGGGGGGGTGCGAAGCGCCCGTCGCCCGCAGTGCTCTTGGCGTAGCGGATGTTGGAGAAGTTGTAGTAGCCGCCTGTTTCCTGCACGAACAAAGACACGGTCAGGGACAATGAACACTAGGTCTCAGGGCGGCAGCAGACGGGCGTAGGTACATTCACGGTCGCCTGGTGCAGCTCGTAGCCCAGGTTGACAATGGGGCCGGCGGCGGCGAGAGACAGCGGGACGGCGCGGGCCGTGAGCACCCACCACAGCACAAGCAAGAAAACCTGGACGAGAACCATGGCACACGGGCGTGTGAGCGGAACCTTCTGAATTTGTTGCTACTAGTACTCTGTTCGCTTTATACGAGCTCTGGGTGGATCTAGGCGGTGAAGAGACGAGCTGCAGCGCATTCTCGGCCTCCTCCAGGCAACCCCTAATTGGGCGCGGCCCGAGTCCAGAGAGGCGTTGCATTACTCGCGCGCCTTCCTCCGACGAAACAAGAGCTGCGCCTTGTCGTCCGGGTTGACCAGGTCCATCTCCTCCTTGTTTGCAGGGCGGCGCGCGTCCGGGCCGCCCGCCAGCTTGAAGTCGTAGGTGCGCAGCAGGTGGGCGAGGATGCTCTTCAGCTCGTGGCCGGCGAAGAAGCGGCCCGGGCAGCTGCGGCGGCCGTGGCCGAAGTGCATCGCGCTCGGCGATGTGCTGATGAACTGGTGCTTGTGCCCGTCTTCGGCGCGCGCGTTGCGCAGGTCCGCGAACCGGAAGCCCTGGAACTCCTCGGCGTTCTCCCAGATTTCGTTGTCCAGCGAGATGTACCCGGCCGGCACGATCAGCTGCGTCCCTTCGGGCAGGAGCGTGCCGTTGGAGAGAGTGATGGGCTTGCGCACGAGACGCGGGAACGTTACTGTCGGGCCCCACGCTTGGTCAGTCGTGCGGGAAGGGGAAGGGCTGGAGTGGGATACGTACGCAGTCCCGGCGGGTTCAGCCGCTGCGATTCCTTCATGAAGCTGTCCATCTTGGACAGCTGGCTCAAGGCCTTCTTCTCGTGGAGTGTCCCGCAGCGGGCTTCCACGGCGTCGAGTTCCTCCCGAAGCGGCTCGATATACTCGGGTCTGGCGGCCAGGTCAAACAGCACATGCGTGCAGGTCAGCGTGGTTGTGTGGATCGCGGCGAAGCTTGCCAGGAGCTGCAGCTCCGCGAGGCGGGCGAAGCTTGTGGGTGTCTTCTCCTTGGCGGCGTTGTCCATCAGCCACTGGATCAGGTCGTTGGGCTTCTTGTAGCCGGCCTTCTTCTGGGCCGCAGCTCGCTCCTCCATGATGGGCACCAGGAAGCGTCGTGCCGTGTCCTGGTGCTTCCAGACTTTGCGAATCTCGGGGACGAGGAAGCGCGCCACGATAGGGCGCAGGAGGTAGTTCCATTTCCTCAGCTTCGAGCCGCCGATGTACACGTCGTGTGTGAAGTCGACTGTCGCTTCGAGCCATTTCTCGTTGCGGTTCATGGGCGCGCCGACGAAGACTCGTCCGGTCAAAATGGCCGCGACGCGGGTGAGGCACTCGTACACGGTGACTGGCGTGAATCCTGGCAACATCAGCTCGGCCGGGTGAAATGGAGGAGCGAGATCATCTCACCTTTGCACTCGGGCATCTCTTCATCGAACGTCTTCGCAATTTCGTCGGCCATGATGGGCAGGAGTGCAGCTGCTCATCGTCAGCACCGCTGCCAACCGGGGCTGAGCGGCTTTGCACTCACAAGTCTGCTGCGTAAGGTCCTCCAGAACTGTCTGTGCTAGCAAATTCGATCCCAGCGTGACCCATTCGTACTTGCCGATGAAGTTGGTCTGCACGGCTGCGTGGAAGTCCAGAGTTTCGGTGGGTAGACTCTTCAACTCGTCGATGAAGCCGTTGCTAATGACAGTGATGAATCCGTCGGGCCTCCATAGCTGGTAGACGCCGTTCCTGAACTGGTCGTAGCCGGTCTTGAGCAGCCATCGAAGATTCTCCTTGTATTCGCGGCTCGCCGTGTCATAGTCGCCGCCATGGAGGTTGAGGACCGGGGCTTTGACGAGTTGCCGTCTGAGCGTACGCTGGTGCAGCCACTCCTCAACAACACATATGAGGAAGGTGAGAAGCGAGGAGCCGAGAAGCCCCGCCAGGACGTGCGATGACACCAGTGCCTGCAGCAAAACCATGGTTCGTTCTGCGGCTGACTGACCGGACCTTGGAGCTTGGAATTGCAATGCAACTTGGATGATATAGCTGGCTGAAGTGGATCACCCCGAGCCGAGATGGCATGTGGCTCGGATCCAGTGAATCGGGTGACGCCGAAATGAAGAATTGTTGGCTAGCTCCGAATTGCACGGAGAGATCAAGAGAAAAAACACGATATCGAAGGGGGGCTGTGAGTTTTCATGTGCTCCAGACCTGACACTTGGAATTCGGCAGGAGCTCCAACGGCGCACACACCGGACCGGACCCTGTTCAGGATTGCCGATACTACTGCTCTCGTCGCACGCGATCTTCTCCCCTTGTTCTCCGCGCATGCCGATAGCCAAGGCACTACAAATGCGGCAAGACTCGGCGTTCCAACACACTCGATTCCGGTGAAAACACACAAGCGAAGAGGGAATTAATGGCGGCAGACATCCAGCGCTGTCTTCGCATCTTGCTCTACCTCATCAAAAGGCCATGTTGGGGACAGGATTGGAGAAATTTAGCAAATTTAGCCTAGACCTCAAGCACATGAGCTCTACTTGTTCTAAATCTCGACTTATATGATGCGTGCGCAATGCCTCTCCTCTCTACTCCCGGTACTTCCTCAGCTCCGGGTCCTGGAGAAGTTTTTCCATGGTGTGAGCAGCCAGATATATCTGAACGTCGACGCCGTTGTCAGCCCAGTGCTTGGGAGGCTGCTGGACGCCCTCGGCAGGCGGGGCCTCCATCAGCTGCACGAGTCCATCCATGCGCGGCATGGCAGCATGGACGAGGCGCGGGCGGCTGCCGCCGCCAAAGTCAACGTCGTACAAGCGCGTGTGGATCCACGAGGTGACGAGCAGATGGCTGCGCCCCAGGAACGCCTGCCACAGGCGCTGGGGGCTCTGCTCCTGCAGCTTGCCCGCCAGGTGCCCCGCCACGGCGGCAGGCGTAAACGCGGCGACGGTCGCGCGCAGCAGCAGGCTGGCGCTGGTCGCGGCGCCGCAGACTTCGCGCGCGGGCGCCGTGGCGGCGGCGATGACCAGGGGCGAGCCCACGAAGCGATCGGGCAGCGGCGGGTCCAGGCGCGCACGCACGCCCAGCGAGTAGTCGAGCGTCACCGGCTCGTCGCTGTCGGCCTGGCCCCGCGCGCGGCAGACGCGCGACCAGACGTGGCCCAGCAAGGCGTCGAGCCGGCTGAGGCGGGCGTCGCCGGCGTCGCGGGCGGCGGCTTGCCACAGGCGCAGCAGCTCGGCGCCAGAGAAGCGGAGCACGCGCACAGCGACGGGCGCAGCCACGTCCCAGTCGGCCCAGGGCATGGGCGTGCCGGGCGGGTCGAGCGGCCCGGCCCGAAGCTCGGCGGGAGGGTGGACGGGCGGCAAGGGGCTGCCGGCATTGGAGATCCACCAGTCGAAGCGGTTGCACGGCAGGGCACGGGCCGAGGGTGGCGGTGGCGCCGCGTAGGCGTCGAGGAGACTGGGGTCGAAGAGCGGGCCAGGGACGGGCGGCGCGAGGCCGCGGGCTGCGGCGGCCCAGTCGCGCACGAAGTTGGCGAGGGCGTGGGCGTCAGCGAGCGGGTGCGCGAGGCGGAGACCAACGGCCAGCCCGCCGCAGGCGAAGGACGTCGCCTGGGCGAGCAGCGCTGGCCGCGGCTCCGGGCTGTCGTCGCCGCCCGGGGCGGTGGGCGCGGCCAGCGGCGTGGCGGGCACCAGCTCGACGGCCGGAAAGCCCGACGGGTCCCAGTCCAGCTCGCGCGCGGGGCGGGGCGGAGCGGCGCTGGCCAGCGCCATGTCGCAGCGGGCGTCGACAAAGGCCACGCCCGGGTCGTCGGCGCGGCCCCAGGTCAGGGCCAGGCGGCCGTAGCGGCGGGCGGCGGCGTCGAACGGGAGGCGGTGCAGGCGGCCGCACCACTGCGGATACGCATCCAGCACGCGGCGCAGCGCCTCGCGCAGGGCAGCGGGAGTCGGCGCGGGCGCGGCGTAGGCCAGCACCGTCTCGGTGGGGCTGAAGTTGGCGACGGTGGCGTCGAGGATCGAGAGTGGCGCGGTGCGCTCCTCCAGCGCCCCGGCGGCGGCGCGCGACGCGGGAAAGACGCGCGTCTCGGCGACGGCAGAGACGGATGCGGAGGCGCGCGAGTCCATGGCTGGGCGTGGTTGCGCCGTCACCCGTGCTGCTCCTTCTTATAGCCGGCCAGGCCCGCTCGGCGGCGCCCAAACGGGCGACGGTGGCCGGCGCCAACTTGGCAGCGGAGCGGCGGCTTCACGCTTGTTAAATGTGCGGCAGTGGCGCAGGTGCGGCCCCGCTGTTCCACCCGCGCTCGCGCTCGCGCTCGCCATGTCGTTCCTCGCTGCCGCCGCCACCCTTGCCGGCCTCGTGCTGCTGCTGGCCCATCTGCTCCGCGCCAAGCGCCGTGTGTGCATCGACGTGCCGCTCGTGCACTCGGACGCACCGCTCGCCGCGCGCCTGCAGAGCGGCTACGCGCAGCACAAGGACCGAGTCTTCAAGCTGCGCTGTCCCCACGGCGAGCAGCTGGTCCTGCCGTCGGCGCTTCTCGACGAGCTCAAGCTGCTCCCCACGACGACCATCAGCTTCGCCCAGTCCCTGGTCGACGTGCGTCGCGCCCTCGTACATGCTGATCGCCCGCGCCTTCGCTGATCCTCTCGCAGCAATTCTGGGGCAACCAGACCCTGATCGGCCTCCACGATGAGACGCTCGTTGCAAGTATTCGAGAGAGCCTGGCCCGCAGCATGAGCAAGTCGTCCTCCCCCTCGCGCTCCAGCGCTGTCCGCTAACTGTCCGGCAGCCGCTGTCGTCGCCGACATGCGCGACGAGCTCGCCTACGCAATGCCCGCCACACTGCCGCAGGACAAAGGTGCGTGCGTACCTATACACCAGGAGCCCGGCCAGCCGCACTGCTGACGTGAGGCAGAATGGAGGCCGTTTCAGGCCCACCCAGCCGTCCTTCGCATCGTCGCGCTGCTCTCCGGCCGTGTCTTCGTTGGCCAGGCCCTGAGCCGCAACGACGAGTTTCTCAACTGCATCGTCATGTACACCATTGACTCGTTCTCTGCATCCACCCGGCTGTATGGAGTGCACCCTCTGCTGCGGCCCTTGGCGCGATTCTTCATGCCCGAGCTGCGTCGCGTCCGCGGCCATCTTGCCACCATGAAACGCCTCGTCAAGCCACTGGTCGAGGAGCGGCTACGGAAAGGAGCCGACGCGCCCAATGACATGGTCTCGTGGAACCTGGAGCATTCGCCGAGCGCGCTGCGGACCAACGTTGACTACCAAGCGTTGCAGCAGCTGCAAGCAAGCTTCGCCGCCGTGCACACGACCGCGCTCCTTCTGACGAACATCATCTTCGACCTGGCCGCGCGCCCCGAATACATCCAGCCTCTGCGGGAAGAGGTGCAGATGGCCTTCGGCACGGACGGCGGTGTCATCACGAAGGCAGCCATGTCCAAGCTCGTCAAAATGGACAGCTTCATGGCCGAGGTACAGCGCTTCAACCCTCCAGGCATCATGACGTTCAACCGGGCCATCACCGGCCCCGTCACGCTGTCAAGTGGCTTGCACCTGCCCAAGGGCACGTGGCTGGCCGCGCCGTCGAGTCAGATCGCCATGGACCCGGACATCTGGGACAATCCGACCAAGTTCGACGGGTTCCGCTTCGAACGCCTCAGGCAGCGGCAGGGCGCATCGGGCAGATACCAGGTTGGTCCTCCTAGACACAGATCTGTCTCTTGTGAATGCCGGCCCCCTGCTAATCCTTTGCAGTTTGTGTCCACCGGACCCGACATGCTGCTCTTTGGCTACGGAAACCAAGCGTAAGTGTCCATCGCTCACCGCCGATCTTTGTTTGCCTGCTGACTTGTGTTCCGCAATGCCTAGATGCCCCGGCAGATTCTTCGTGAGCAACGAGATCAAGCTCATCCTCGCCACGCTGCTGCTCGAGTATGAGCTCAAGCTGCCTGGCGACCGCCCCGATACCATAATCAACGACGTATCGGTCAGACCCGATTCCCAAAAGGAAGTCCTCATCCGCCGTCGGGCCTAGTGGCTTTTCAGTTTTCGTGGCAGCTTCGTTCGGCTTGCAGATTGGGTGCGGCGTTTGCACCTTGAACTCATCACTACCGTTGACCGTTGTTGGCGGCCGTCATCTCAAGCCCCTGAGCATTTTCCACCAAAGTATCGCATGATTTACCACACTATATAGATACAGCCAATCTGAAACTAGGTGTTCCAGTGAACTTCTGTACATGATCCCGTGAGAAATTGGTCTTTATAGAAGAGTCCACGCCCGGTAATTGTGAGGCTGATTACGTAGGCTTCCATCACTGATGAGGCACGCCACCAGCTTCCCGCTCACGACAGCAATACTTGGTGAGAGTCAAGAGAATATGACTGCAGTTTGATATTGCTAACTTCTGTCTGAAGGCGGCATGGCCAAAATCCAATCCGCCCGCTCTCTCACAGTCCCTCGCCAGGGTTTTGACATCATCGACAACAGGAACGACAACAAAACCGCAACCACGTCCCACACTCTCTCTCTCGCCCATGCCCCTTCCCCTTCCCGCACGTACCTGTCCTCCCCCTCCAAATCATTGCACCAACACCCTGATGCCTTTGGTGTCGAGCTTGGGCGTCGGCACGAAGCGGTCGTACAGCAGCTCGACGTCGGACAGGTCCGTCTCAAAGAGCTGCAGGCGCGGGCCAAGGCGGCGCACCAGGCCGGCGATGCCGTAGTAGAGCTCAGCGTAGGCGAGGTTGATGCCGATGCACTGACGGCTCCCCTTGGAGAAGCTGAGGATGCAGCCGGCGAGCGCGGGCGGCGCGTCGAGCCAGCGCTCGGGCCGGAACTCGCACGGCTCCGGGAACAGTAGCGGGTTTAGGTGCACCAGCGGGCAGCTCATGCCTACCGGCGTATTGGCCGGGATCGTGTGCGTCGTGAGGCCCCCGCGCCGGTCGCTGCCTGTCGGCCCGCTGCCCGTTGTGAACGACAGCGGCTCCGGCGCCAGCCGCTGCAGCCGCGTGCTTACCCCGTACGACAGCCGCAGCCCTTCGGTGACGACTGCGCTGAGGTACGGCAGTGCCTGCAGCACCTGTAGCGATGGCAGCTCCGTCGCGTCGGGTATTGCGGCGTCCAGCTCGGCCTGCAGCTTCGTGCGCACGTGCGGCGTCCACAGGATGTAGAACATGGTTGCGGAGAGGGCTATTGTGACCAAGTCAGCGCGCGGTTTGCCCCACGGGGGTGGCTTCTCGCTGTCTTTCTCTTTGTGGTCGAAGGTGCGATGGGGGACGGGGAAGAAGTCACGCACACCAGGCCGTCGTCTCCGTGCCCGCCCCTACGATGATCTGGCCTTCCTGCCACATCCGCTCCAGTCGCTTCTCCTCGTCCGGGAGGTCGCCGTCGATGAGTTCGTGGAAGATGGTGGCGCCCGTGCGCCCAGACTTGCGATCCTCGACCCGGGTCGCCTGGATCTCCGCAATCTGCTTCCGCACGTCCTACTCAAAAGTCAGCAAGGGGCATGGGGTACGGGGCGAAAGAACATTGGGCCACCGACTTCTTGAAATCTTAGATACACGTCCATCTCGGGATTCAGTCGCGACACCAGGGCCCTAAGACATTGTGAGGATCTAGGAATAGCACATCAGTGAGGCATGGATACAAGCTTACGACGGGAGACAGCGCATAAAGGCCAATAGCCAGGGGAAGCGTTTGGTATAGGGACCCATGTTGGAGCCGGCAACGATGGCGCGGTGGAAGTTGGGCTCGAAAGTCGGCGAGTCGAGGAAGCTGTAGCTGCGCGCGAAGGCGTATTCGGTGACTACATCGGTGGTCATGCAGCTATAGGCCATATTGAGCGTCGCCGGCTGCCCCGTCCCCGCATAGTGTGTCTCAAGCTGGGTGCACAGCTTGTTGATCGTGTCCTTGATCAGCGGCTCCAGCTTCACCACCGACGCCTTGGAAAAGAAGCGGTTCATAGCGCCGCGACGCAGCCGGTGCAGGTCATGTGGCACGGTGCTGAAGACGCTCTGTTACAAGGAGAGAAGATCTGTTAGCACATTTTTCTGATGGTGTTCTTGCTCGGATGATGGCCCCACCTGTGGAATGCTGCCCTGTTGTTAGCAATACGTCGATAGAGAGCGTGTGGGGCTGGCACGTACCCGAATTGAGTCGTAAAATACTCATACTTGTCTCTTTTTTTGCCTCCCGCCACGTAGAGCTGGTCGATGAACTTGGGGTCATTCACATGAAGCTCGTTGGGGCTGATGCGAACGATCGGACCTGAGAAACGGGAAGGTCAGAGCCATATATGCCTAGTGAGAGAGGCTGTGGCTAGCACGGGTTGCGCACCGTATTTCTCGTGCATGCGCCCAATTTCGAATGTGTACTGCCCGCATTGGACGCCATCGAAGAAGAATTCGTACCACAGTGTCGCGGCGGCGAGCTTGGGGCCGGGAAAGCGAGCAAGAGGATGGAAGAAGAGCCGGTAGACGGCCAAACCAGCAGCATAGAGTACGAAAACGATACACACAACGAGTGCAGGGTGCTGTGCCGCAAGGGCCGCAGCAGCTGTGAGCAACCTCATGCTTGGGAAAGGGCGAAGCATCGACCAAACTTCAGACCCAATGGTCACGGGTTCTTAAGACCAGCCAAGTGCTACTATCTCGGAGCGTCTCGAATAGGGAAGGACCAGAAGAACCGTATTGTTGCGAGCGCTGTGTCTGAATTGGACGCACCGCCATGGTCGGCCCGACCGACCGAAAGGGAAACCTCGACCATATCCGATGCGGTGATGCGCGGGTGCGCGTGCACATAAATACGTGAAGAGCCCGCTGAGCATCTCACTTTTCTCGTAGCAGCGGTAAGCTATACGGGCCGGCACCATGCTTCACGACCTCATCTCGGCGATCCCATCGCAATGGGCGGGACAAGAAGACACACGCCGGATTTCGATTCTCATCGCCGTGGCATGCGTCGCTCTGACGCTGGTCCTGGCACGGTCTGGGAAGACAAAGCAGCGCCTGCTCCAAGGCGTCCACGTCGTGGGCGGCTCTGAGAAAAACAGCATCGTCCAGAATCGCAAACTCTTCTTCAAGAACTCAAAGACCATGCTCATCGAGGGCTACAAGACTTCGCCGAACGACTTTTACTACGTCCCAACCGCCCTGGGGGAGCGACTGATGATCCCGACCAAATTCATGCAAGAGCTCAAGACGGCGCCCATGGACCAGGTTGACTTTGTGGGCACATTCATCGAGATGTTCGAGGGCAAGTACACCACGCTGGGTAGCCGCTCCAGGCTGCATGCGCGGGTAGTCAAGGCACAGCTGAACCAGAACCTCGACGGCGTCATGGTCGGCATCCAGGACGAGATCATCGATGCCTTCAAGGATTCCTTCCCGGCCTGCGACGACTGGACCGAGGTTCCCGTTGTCGACCGCATCACCCAGATAGTCGCCCGTGTCTCCAGCTGCATGTTTGGCGGCACCACCCTCAGCCGCAACGACGAGTGGGTCCAGGCCTCGATCAACTTCGCCCACGACAGCTTCATCGCCGCTCAGACACTGAAGAAGTTCCCCGAGTTCTTGAAGCCGGTAGTCGCACGCTTCATCCCCGCGCTCCGCAACATCAAGAAAAGCTACGCCGCCGCTGAAAAGGCCGCCATCCCGCTGCTGGAAGAGCGCTCGCGCACGGGCAAGTCCGCGCTGGACCTTCTATACTGGATGAGCGAGCAGGCCAAGGGGAACGAGAAGGAAAACAAGTTCCTCGCCAGCATCCTGCTTATCGTCAGCTTCGCCGCCATTCACACGAGCGCTGCCGCACCTAGCCAGCTCATCTACGACCTCTGCGAGCATCCCGAGTACGTCGACATTCTCCGTGAAGAGTACCGCAAAGTGATCAGCCCGGACGGTAAGATCGATAAGAAGGGCTTTATCCAGATGCCTCTGATGGATAGCATTATGAAGGAAAGCCAGCGGTTCAATCCGCTACTGCTGAGTTAGTGCTCCCCCCAAAGGCGAGAAACCCCATAAGCAGTGAGTGCTAACACAGATGTCGCAGTCACTTTCGAGCGTATTATTACCGTTGACTGGACCCTCTCAAACGGCGTCGTCATTCCCGCCAATACGACCATTGGAGTCCCCACCAACGCCATCTCCATGGACCCCACCCTGTACCCGGAGCCCGAGAAGTTTGATCCGTGGCGCTTTGCCTCGATTCGCCAGGCCGATCCTGCGCAGGAGGGAAAGGCGCAGTTTGTGTCCTCCAACCCCGCTAGCATGGCCTTCGGCTATGGCCAGCACGCCTGTCCTGGGTGAGTCTTCCGCGTTTCAGCTCCTTCTTCGACTCATTCAACGTGCTGACCTGGTTCACATACAGACGATTCTTTGCCGCGCAGGAGATCAAGGCCATCATGGTATACCTACTCGAGAATTACGACATGAAGTTCGCACCAGGGCAGAAGAGACCGGAAAGCCTGCAGTTTGAGACACAATACCTCCCAGACCCCACTACAAGGGTCCTTTTCAAGCGCCGTAAGCCGGCGACAGCATAGATCTAAATAGATGGCCCTAGATATTCAAGTCTACTCTTACGAATCTTAGGGTGAAGTTGGAAGATTACTAGTATGAGATGATCGCTACATTGCAAAGCGCTGGAGAGTGTAACGGTGGGCCTCTTCTATCCTGGCTTCGGAGTCGCCAGGTAGGAAGCGGGTGAACCGAAGGGTTTACCATAAGGACCATGATAATAAACATGAGCTGTTGATAGATTGGCGAAGGCAAAATCTATCAAAGGGTCCACCAGCGAAGCTGGGGCTTTATCACTCATAATATGGTGAGGTAGTAATTACAGATCGTAATGGCAGCCATAAATTTGACCCCCCCATCCGTGTTTTAACCCCCCCTACCCTGATTTTAACCCCC